AAACACTTAGAGATTTCATGAATACCCCCCCCCCCTTCCCGACTGTCTAAGGTGCAGGACAACAGCAGTTGCCTTCTCAGAGAAGCTTCTTTTCTTTTACTACCCCTCATTTCGCTGCGAACACTCCGATTCAGTAATCAATTGCCTCAAACGCTAATTTCCTCGACCAACCTCAAATTAAAGATCCTCCTTGTAAAAAAACCCTGATTAAAACTACTTGCTAATTTTTCCGTCAATTTTTTCTATTCGGAATGAACAAGGAATAATTGGGCAGCTTTGCTGAGATGGTCCTACTGTTAACCCATCTCTGCTACCCTCACCTTCCGCTCGGCTCGATGACTACTGTCCGCCTCTTCTTCAGTGAAAATTGCTTGATTAAAGGGTTTTATTCTCGAAAATTCATGAACCAATGAGCTCCATCCCAAACTTCAAACATCATCGTCAAGATGGATAATTCTTTTATCGAATTCCACTAACTACTTCAAAAACTTCCTGATCAGAATAAGTAAGTTACCGTAACCATGTTTTCCTGAAAAACTGGATAATTCGAAAAACTTCCCGATTAGGATTAGTAAAGTACCACCCTCACTCTGTGATGAAAACCACAAACAGGAAATGTTATTTTTTCTGAACGTTCCACTTTCTCTTACCATTTGACGCTTGTCTTGGACTAGAGGGACGAAATATTTAATTCAGCTTCTTAAAACTAGTAAGCTCCTTAATTTCGAACCCTAGAACATTCAGGTTTGTAGCCATCTCTTACCATTCCAGTATTGATATAGACCGTGAAATCCGAGCCATTTCTCATCAGATTCGCATTATTGATGTGATGTTTTACGACTCCGCCCCCGAGTATTAACGTCCCCGTCTTGCGGCTCTTCACTGCCATCGTATTGATATGACGCACGTCCTAAACAAACATGACTTCAACACATCAACTCCATTTAGGTCCCAAATGTTACACTTCTGCCCTGTCCTACTATTTAATGGACTCAGGAAAAAAGATTTCAGAAGATTGGGATTCCATGATAGATGAGATTCGGAAAGATTTTCGATTCAGAATTCTGATCAATTACTTCCCAGATTCCACCGGATTAAACCAACGAAGACTTACCGATTTTTAATTGCACTGGATAAGCTTATGGCAGTATAACTGGCCGCAGAGACTTCATCTATAGGAAACTCTTTTCTGCATAAGTTTTTTCCAGCTACACTCGGATTGCCTCAGAAGAGGCTAACGTCCTCGAATTCAAAAAACTCATGGACGTTGAACTATACAGTTGTTAGGCACGGTCAATCCCACATGTTCCATCATTCATTCAGCTTTTATTAAAGGCTAATAAGCAGCGTGCGATTAAATCTTAATATGAAAAATGGAAGCGAGAGCGGTCACAAGTCCCGCAATCGGGGAAAAACCGGACGACAGACGAATTAGTTGAGAATCCATGAAGGTAGTCCTCCAGTTTTACAGAAGACTTCGATCCTCGATCAACAACTAACTGATGACCTCATGCTTTGATGTATTTTCTTTATTAATAACACGCCTAATACAGCAAACAACGTGTTTTGGAAGTCATACTATTGCATACCCACACTTCTTGAAGCAAGTAGTAGCGATTTTATACCGTTTTGCCGAGTGATCCACTCAAGGGCGGAGTGTCCCATGGCGGGAGTCTCTCCGCATTACCGCATGACGACTTACTGTGCCTTTAGACATGTGCGTTCAGCCATGAAGAGGTCTCAGATCGCCATCTTCCTCACCTTGCCACCTTCCCAGAATTCATCTTACCTGCCCATATCAGTCCAGAAAAGGGAGACTATCACAAATAAACAAGAAATTCAAGTGTCATCAAGATGAGACCTTCTCACAGAGTAGCTACATTACTTAAAATGAAGAAAGTCAGTGTTTCTGTACAACTCAATGATACTGAATTCATTAGACTCCAACAGTCGCCACAAAGGGTTACCGTAAGTCGAGTATTAGATTGATTCTTTTCGACGGTCATAGAAATGAAGTGACCGCGTATGACGGACCCCCAATGGCCCCAATGGCATATTCTATTTGAATGCCCAAGATTCTGGCTGACTATTTATGTTACTTTAATGGTGAGTAAAATTCAAAAAGGTAACAAAACCACTCACCTCCACAATGTCTACACGAAGCCCAGGTGAATGTTTGACTGAGTGAAAATATAGCATATCCCCAAGACTTCCATCAGTTAAAGCTGGACAAAAAATAGGTATATGATTTCGTGCAGCCCAGTAAAGTATAGAATCCTCATTATTGATTTTCTCGCCTAACCTGAAACAAACCAAGAACTGTCGTATGAGGTAGAGCTAGATGCGGTGTCAAGATTTTGTAGTCGGAATTTTGTTGAAAAGATCTAGCCAACCTCCTGATCAGTTTTGAAGGGGTCCAGCTGTATCCTTGTTCTTCCTGCTCTTTCAGGCACTCGTCAAGGATGGGTGATAGCCAATCCTCAAACGCGCAATAATTGTCGTTCGGAATGAGGATGTTGCCAGCGCGATTTAACCCATGTGAGCTGGAACCTTGAGGCATCATTTAAGAAAAACGTAAGGGACAGAATGCTAGTAATCGACCCCGAGGGGAACACCCAATGAGTAGCAAAGGTGATGGTAACAGTAGCATGGATGACAACAAACTAACCGCAATTCTTTGCCGTCCATTCGGAAATCGCCCAAATAGGAAGGCAGTAGGCACTTGATAAGATCTTCTTCCACTCCTCCGGCGCTTGTGACCACACAGTCCACTAGGTCGTGTTGTACTACAAATCGAAGTATCTGAAGGAAATCATATGACCAGCAGTACAACACTGAACTCAGCGGGTGAGGCAGTATACCGCCCCCAAGAAATTGTCGGTACTAGCCAAACTAAGTATAACTAAGGTAAATCACTCGCCCACTGCCCTCAGAAAAGCTACGAACTTGTCCAACAATCTGATAATCCAGCAAGCCCTTTCCTTCCTGTCCCAGGATCTCCCACAGCCTCATTTTTTCAGATCCAGGTTCACAGTACTCTTCCCAAGTTTTAACCATCAAAAATCTGTTCGACAAGACGTGACCATCAGCCGTGTCCGTTATATTATGGGAAGAGCGATTAGCACAAACCTCTCTAAGACCGCTGCTAACAAGATTCGAAGTGTAACCCAGAAATATCGTACAACGAGGAATACTTCGTTCTTTGGGATATGGAAAGAACTGTTTGGGCATATCACCATCACTGCATGACTCTCTCTCATCGAGCATGCCATTGACCTCCTGGAAATAAACAAGAAATTGCAAAAGTTTGGAATAAAAACAATGTTGTACCTGTATTGCCTTCGCCAGATGGGTAGCTTGGAAGCCGGTGGAAAGATATGAGGTCATAAGTTTCGAGAAGTTTATCCCTTCATTGAAATCATAACCTCTGATAACTGGCGCATCTCGAGGCACCTAAATTGTGAGTAAGAGTGACTCTGAAGAGTACAAAAAAGTACCGACTGAGAAAAATAGGTATTTATGATTTCAAACTTGAATAGTCAACGATATTTAGTAATCAGAACACAAGGGCTGAATGATCGACCATGCTCGAATATAGAAGGTCCGACGATCTGGGCAGTACTCAACTTAACGTGAGTTCATCGAGCAATTTCCGAGTCTATTCATGCACTATGGGGGGAGGTGGTGTAGTGGCAAGTGGCGCACTTCATCCACGCATGGTCACGGGCTCGAGTCCCGCATCGATATCCACCCCCCAACAAACCAACTCCTCCATCTCCGCGGGGTTGGTAAATAGGCAGCAGACTTATCTGGGGGTATAAAAACACTGACTAGCACATCGGCTGGCCACCGCAAGCCATTGTGACATCAGACATCTTACACATCCTACTCGTCCAACCCCCTTTCCAGCTCTTTTTTGACCCTTTCTATTTCTTTTTGTTCATCGTTTTTTGCGNTTTTTTCGTTGTTATCGCTTTATTCCAGAGTAGTTCTATGAATTCCCGTCAAATAAGGGTACCCTGAATTTATCGTAAACGGTGCCTTTAAGGTACAGGGGCTAAACACTTACGGCCTCACGAGCAGTCCAAACATAGACATTCTGTAAACTTTGCGCGCTTACTAGCAAATGCCAGGAGTGGTTCGTCTTTGCATTAAATGGAGTAAATGCCGGTTCTTGAGATGAATTATACCTTGAATCCAAGCTAGCGATTTTAAGCCAAGTTAGAGAGACCAACATAAAGAAAGTGACCGTTTTAGAAAAGGTTGCTGCTGTCACACAGTTCATGATAAGGGTGTAAAAGTCTTGGGGCATGAATCAATCCCGTCAGAAGATTGCGCCCACACATTCGACTTCCATTCAGAATCGTAGCGACGCATTGAATGCGTATGTGACCTATACAATGACTTGCAGCGGCCAGCCGATGTGCAACTTGGTGCTTTATAACCTCATAGACGAGTCTGGTACCAACTAGCTGGCCCCGTAGGGATGGAAGACTTGATTAGCTTGGGGAGATATCGATCCGAGATTCAAATCCATGACATACGTATGTGATGGAGAGGACATGAAGAGCAGCGAAAAATCAGACTCGTAAGGAATTGCGAGCAAACCACCAGCATTGGCCCGAGAAGAATAATGCTGAGAAGAGAGCCGGGGCTTTCTTCGTAAGAGATAAGACCCAGAGAAGGGGTGCTAAAAAATTAACCGAGCGGGAAAAACCATACTAATAGTCACCTCACAAGACTTCACCAGAACAGCTCCCTGAGCGACACTGAGGTCATCGTTCACATCATTTGACTCGCTCATATTACTGGAAGTCGAGCATATTAGTCACCCCGAATTCTATGACGATTATGTACTCACTGGGAACGATACGACGTTCATTACAAAACAAAGGTCGATGTTTGCATGCACATTTTTATTCAAATAAGCATATAAAATACAAGTGGCAATTGAAAAAGTGAATAAAATGTAGGATTTTTAGCCTTTGAAACTATCTTTAGTCCGTCGTACACGAGCCATCACTTCGATGAGGTCGGTCGCGCCGACCTTCTTCTGAATTTCTGGAGAAGATGTCCTCATGAACGGATTTATCTCTTTTTCCTCAGCAATAGTTGATGGTACGGTTGGTTCATTCCGTTCGCGACACCGTAAAGCCCATTCCAGCTTGCGTTTCACTGCCTGTAACTCTCTTTTATTATAACCAGTAGGTAATTTATTAAAGCAAAGTAAAAAGGAAGCAACGAATCTTGCTTTCATCGAACCATATGAACTATGTATATTTTAAAAACCACCTCATTCCCTGGCTCTATGTGATGAGCAAACTTCAGGTTACTGTAGGTGTACTCATGTCCAGGATAAACAAGGGTACTGTCCGGCAGACCTGCCAGTACTTCGTTCAAGTTTCGATGCATCTGGTCAGCAGTTCCTGAAAACTTGACATTCTGAAAGCGAAAATCATCATAAGAAGCAACCTAATTGCGTTCGCAAGAGGGGGTGGGTATCTGTGGGTATCCCACGACGAGAAAAATTGGCCCAATGTTCATATTTAACTGAAATTCGAAGTCAAAATCGAAAAACGCAAACTGTGGCAAAAAAATATGGAAGATAAATAGCAATCCGAGGCGAAAACATCTGTTGATGGGATAGAGATCAAGCTCTGTGAGACTACGAAATAGCGGTTCTGAAATCCTTCGCGAAAAATTATCCTTCTGGCAGATAAGTAAGAACGATCCAAATACAATAGCCATGTCTAACCTTCGAAGAATCTTCCGCAACCAGCTATGAAAAGAGTATCTCCAGTTAGAACGATACGGCTGTCACTATCGGGATGTGTGACGTAGTAGCAAATATGTCCTTTCGTATGGCAAGGCGTTTTCAAAGCCGTAACCTTTAACAAAAGGTCGAATAACGCCGACAGAAAAAGGTAACAAAAGTGGACAAGAATCATAAAATAGCAAAATGCCAAACGTAGCGTTCGCCGGCGTGACCGAAACATCTGCCTCACCTCCATTTGTCCTATTCGGAACTTCTCTTCATGGTCGACTTTATTGTTCAAATGATCAATGCGCTCATCACCGCCATAGATTTCAGCCTGATCCGCTCTCCAGATTTTCCTGAACTCTCCCATTCCTCCTGCATGATCCCAGTGGTGATGCGTGACAAGTGCTGCTGCTACGGTAACCTAAAGCACTTTACTGAACAAGCATGAATCAAGATCGAACCAAGTTACTTCTATGGATTGTAGTAGGATGTACAGTTTTATACTAAGAATGCTATCATTGGGTATTTTTGCTAGTTGTCTCGCCTCGACAAATAGCTTGGTTGGTTTCCTTGGATAGTTGTCTTGCCACGCAGGATGCTGTTCGACTATAATACTGGTCATTTATCTCAACTCGCATACTCTGTACAGCTGATGCCTTGCTTGTAAGTGAAAATTAAACAGAAATCATCAGAATTCGACGAAAAGTATGACCCTCACTGAGTAGTGGTGACTACGCACGGCAGAAGTTGTTCGGAAATCAGTATCGGAATCTAGGGAATAGGGAACCTTTTTGCAGATCAAGGACAAATTTGGAAGCACTAGAGAATTCCATGTAGTGATTGAAAAAGACAGAAGACTGTGTCATGTTCTGATTTTTCGCGATTGATGTTGATGGGCTTTGAGTGATTTTGTAGGATTGTGCCGGGTGGCGCCGCTGCTGTAGGCATTGTCCGAAGATCAAATCCGGAATATCCGCCGAGGTCATCTGAGCCTTCCATTTTTCTGGACTTGGCTATTTGATATCAGAATCGTCAGGATGAAAGCATTCAGTGAGACACGGGTTCTCTCCACAAATTCGTGTTCTTATACAGCTCAACAAACAATGCAAGCTAAGGAACAATAGAGTAACCATTGTTGGTTAGAACATTATCCCACCTAACGGGCACTCAGTTATTTCCTTCTCCCAGAACTAGGAAGAATGAGAGCCAAACAATTCAACGACCACCTGTTCAATTTTTCGTAATTGACGAGTTATTTCCTTTTGCTAGGAAAGCCTTGAGGAGCCAGAGCAAGTGGTAATCAGAGGGAGCAAAATCAGGTGAATAATGTGATGAGAAACCGTGTTCAAGCCTAGCCCCTCATATTTTGCACGGGTCTCTTAATTATGTGAGGCCTAGCGTTGTCATGGAGAGATATACCGAAGTTCGTCTAAGCCTTTTTCTCGAACGGCTTCCGCAAGCTTCTGCAGACGACCAGCGAAACAGGAAGCGGCGACAGTATGGCCTTCCTTAAGCAATTCGTAGTACAGCATTCCTTTTAAATCGCAGAAGTAGTAAAGGAGAATTTCTTGGGCTGAAGGCCGGATTTGGCTTGCGTCGGCGGCTGTTCTCCACATGAGAGCCAGGGGGTGCGGTGCTTGTTAGCATCGTAGAGGATCCAGCTTCCATTTCCAATGACTAGGCTCTCCAAAAACTCTTTCAATATGGGCTAAGAAAGAGAGACTGGCAAATGGAAACCCGGGTACACCGCATGCTATCGGTCAAGACATGAGGTACCCATCGAGTCAGCACTTTTCTGTAACCGAGGGCCTGAAGGCGACCGACGACTGTTGATCGGGCACATCCCAGTCTCTTCGCAAGACTGTGGGTGTCAATTTCCGGATCCTCTTTGACGGTGTCTAGAATGACGGACCGCGTCCCTTCCTTGAAGCAAACGAACCAGAAATAGAAGGTAGCGATGGGAATGGTTTCCTCTCCCAATGCGCTGTTGATGTTGTGGACTGTTACCGCCGCTCCAGTGCTGCGGCGCCACTCATAGAAGATGATGGCTCGAAGATAGTTTTGCGAAATTGAAATCGTGTTTCAACTCAGAAGGGCGCACGCGCCCTTATATATCTTTTGCGGAGAAGCTCCTAAAATGTTCTACAACTATCACATGATAGATCATGGATGTAGGTCAAAAATTGAACATCCCGCACTTTCCAAAAAACTCAATGAAGACTTTTCTATCAACCTAATACATAAGTGAACCGCAGAAGAATAGTCATTGAAAGATGGACACCGCCACGATCCTGAACTAAACTCAAAGCGAATTGGTGCATCCCAAATCAGGATTAATCAGCGTCAAAAAACTTTGCTCCCAAACTCTTGCATGTCCAAATACATATTGCTCACGATCTTGTGCTAGCAACTAGTGGAAAGAGCATTTTTTGAAATTTTCCCCATGTTCTTGCAAGTTCCATGGCAAAATATGATTGATTGATTCGCGTTATTCATGTTATTCACGGGACACCAGAATGATAACAAAGCGAAATAACAATCAATCACAGGAACATTTTGTGTGTTGTAATATGGGAAGACTGAAAGAACTTTGATACATGTGTACAGCATGAATCTTGAAGGCAGTACAGCATGTGACTACCCATCCACCCACAAAGGATTCCGATCTTGTGATGGCAGCTAATGTATGCAATTGATTCCGTAAAAAGGATGCTCTGAACCACGAGGTGCCGTATTCATACCAGCGATCATTACTCAAGAAGTACTTTTTCGGCCAAAGAGACTATATTCTATAAATTATCGATCGGGACAATTGTCGGGATACTGCATGTGAGATTCTGTGCAAGTGGATGCTTCAGAGACAATAATGCACACTGCAGCGTTTACACAGCGACCAAATCACCAGGCGTGGACTCAGTAAAATCTCCGGGAAACAATGGAAGACAACGAGTTCACCCCAAATCAAGGTTTACCATCGAAATGAGGGTCACGAAAGCGGTTAGATACGTTAACAGTTCTCAACTAGGGAGGCTGTCGAATGCCGTCTGCGATGTTCTCACTTAAGTTGGCCACTCAGGCACCAAGAAAACAGAATCGATGTGTTGTAATAAACGAATTTATCACCTTGCAGCCTTCCGCAACTTCCTTAACCTTGTGTGGTTCAACCGGATCCACAGCAAAGCCCTTCGAATCTTTTTCACTATAGACCAAGTACATATAGTTGTCCTCTAGGGCTCTAATTGGGATCACTTTTATCATTTTCCCAGTCACACCGCGAAGAGCAGATTGCATGCACTAAATTAA